GAAGATGCAGTGGAATACGTTTGTTTTTGAAGGGAATGCGATCTACATAAATGCGTTTATGTTTGCGCGAGTCATTCGTGATACAGCTTCACCTAGAAGAAGTGAGTATATGTTGTTTCTTGTTATGAATCTTTGCAAATCGCCTTTCCTAATAACGTGCTAGTTAGCAAGTTTCACAATGAATGCGGCTAAAGTTTACCATCGCTCAGAGCGGCTCGGAAGAGAGGGTGAGCAGAGCTCATTTGCATTTAAAGCTTGCTCTGAAAAGAGCTGTTTTTGACAGGGTAAAAAGGGTGCCGTTTTACACTACCACTGAGAAATTTTAACTAAAGTATGTTATATAATTTTCATTAAGACCCTAAAGAATCATATCAACTTGTGGAAAATGGCCATCCGATGACCCCTTTAATGAACCCAAGCTAACATGAACTAACAGTTGTATTTTTTTTAACAAAGAATAATAACTTCCGTAACAAATGTAGCTATTGCTCATTGTTAATGTTAGTGAATTAACTAAAGTTAACTAATGAGACCTTATTGTAAAGTGTTACTTATTGTACTTTTTTGCACTTTAATCTGTTTGAAAAAAAATTTTGTGTATTGCTTTATTGAATTGAAATATTCAGTTCTTTTTGTTATAAGAAAAAAGTTATTAAACCTGTTATACTGTATTATGACAACACTGTTTTGCAAATAAATTTCAATATCATGATGACACCGTATACCATGATAAAAGCTTTAGCTTTAATTGCAACGTGAAAATTTGATACCGTCACATGACCTGTGCTTGCAAAGGTGGTTCAGTTTGGGTGAACTTGTTCTTCTTGGCTGTGATTATCAGGGTTGCCAATAAGGCATAGACTGCCAAGCAAAATACACTGTCAAGGTCCAGAAAAGTATGAAAAGCATTCTCGTCGCTTCATAACGTTGTGGTTGAGCCATTGATGGCAGATGGACTATTCTGACGATGCTTTTCATACTTTTCTGGACCTTGAAAGTGTATTTTACTTGGCAGTCTATGGGACAGTCACAAGCCTCCTGGTTTTCATCCAAAATATCTTAAATTGTGTTCCGAAGACAAACAAAGCTTTTATGGTTTTGGAACGACATGGGGGTAAGTGATTAATAGACTGTTGCCCTTTTGGGCTTGAACTGATGGTAAAACTAATGACATTATTAACTGTCTTGATATTTATTTTGAAAGCTGAAGCTGCGTTTATGGTAAGGGACGTTACATTTCCGACGCGTGCTTGTGGTGTTCGGCCAATCACAATGCACTCGGTCAGCTGGCCAAACAGAGCAGACTGCACTTGTCAAAGGAGGGGGCTTTGTTGAAAACGACGTGTTTGAGAGAGGCGGGGCATAGAGGACCTACAATAATGTACAGTATTTGAAAAATAAAGTGTTTTTTGAACATTAAAGCATGTCAACATATTCTGTTACACCAAATACACAAAATAGTGATCTTTAAAATAGCATCATATGACCCCTTTAAAGGGTTAGTTCACCCAAAAATGAAAATTAGCCTGTGTTTTACTCACCCTCGAGGCATCCCTGCCCACAGAGCTCATCACAGACAGACTGTGACGTAACAGAACAGCTCCAAGACTCAGCACCCAAGGACGACTTTCTGGAAAACAGCCAGGGAAGCCAGGACAACATATTTCAGCCACCAGAAACAGCAGAGCCACAGCCCATCTCACCAGACACATTATCCCTCTCTCCAGCATCTCCACTTCTAAGCTTCTCACAGAAAATGGAGGAACTGGTTTATGCTGGGACCGGACTCTCCCACTCTTTTGCTCCAAGCCCCCAGTTATCAACTAAAAAACGGCGGGCCGCACAACCACCAAAGCCTATGGGCCCAGCTTGTCCTCCACCTCCAGTGAGAGCTCTCCGGCCGCTGCTACAACGCCAGGGCCCAAACCCCCCGTCTGCTGTAGGTGAACCAAAAATAACTGATAGCAGCTCTCGGTGATATGTGTTGGTTCCCCGTTATGATAGCAGCAACATTCACAAATGTTTACAGAACAAGCGGGAACCCAGTGTGCCTGTAGTTTTCTCTATTTCTGTTTTATCACGTTATAGAAAGTCTAAGGCCTTCTCAAGCCGTACGACTGACTCATCTAATCTGCTGCCTATAATGCGTCAAACTAAGATTGCTGTTGAAACAAAAACCAATGCCATGAAGTTAGCATTTTTAAACATTCGCTCACTAAAAA